TAATTTGTGCATTTTTTTCATGTGTTACTATTTCTATTTTCATTTAATAAGGGACAGTCGTGTTTTCATCGTCGAGGTTCTCTATCTCTATAACTCTATCTGAGGGTGTTTGGAACCGATTCTGATTTTTCTTCTTTTTTAAAGTAGCAACAAAATCAGAATCAGTTTTCAGAAGCTGACCTCCTCCAACTTCTAAAAAACCTGATTGTAGGAGTAAATTAAAGCATCAGAATCACTTCTGCACTTTCACCCAAACACTCAAACTAATGATTCTGCTCCCTTGTGGAGCAGAAGCAGTTTTAAGAATTAGATTGTAAGTTGGCCATCACTTCCATTTCAATCATTTAACAAAAAGCGGTCACCGCCCTTCACCCACTTCAATAATACGGAGTAAGATTTATCCCCGGCCCGCCTAACGGCGGATGGAACTGTCTGGATAATCATTCTCCAGCCGTACTAAATATGGATGGGATTGAAGTACATACCATAGTGTCATTTTCCAATTATATTGCATTTTGAATTTCATTTGACAATGTAATGATAAATGACTAATCAGATTTATTTGATGCGAAGGTGCCGTGCCATATGCATATATGGCCACAACCAGGGGTATATTAGTACATTAAGCTGCCCCGGTACAAAGTTTTTCGATACTATCGTACTACCTTGAGTACCTTCGTATCAATTTGATTAACAAATTGGACTTTTCTTGGTCAAGCAGTTTCGTTTCATTCGTTTAAGTAGTTTGTCAATTTTTAATTATATTTTCTAATTTGGAGTTTGCAAATTTGAAAAGATTTTAATGTAATTTCTAAATATGTATATTTTAATTATTAAAACTTCAATTAATTATCAATATAGAAGATTTAACTTTAACTTTAACTTTGATTGACAAAAAAAATGTTGAATTTACAAATCAAATTGGAACGAAGGGGTATAATTTCACATAATTTTTTAGTTTAATAATTTAAACACAATTAAAATTTGGGTGTGTGGGGCCGTCCCCATGCTTTGCCCAACACAAATAAGACATAGTACGGAGTATATGAATTGAATAAGTAAAAACCAATACTTGCTCCATTCCTTTTAAAAATTAAAATCTAACAATATTCAGAATTCAAAAATTTTAAATTAGAGAATCTTAACAATTTTGTTGCATAAATTTAATTTCTAACACACTAATAAATAAAATATGATCAAAGTAAAGCATGCAAAGGGTGTAGATTTTACAGAAATGCTAGGGGTACACAAGTTGTACACAACTTGTACACAAAATGTCGGTCACAGACAATTAGTACGAAGTTGCTTGTGAGAACAGACAAGAGTTGCATGTGTACAAAGACAACTTTTGTGTAAAAAGAGTACACTGACACACCTGACACCACCTTGTGAATCAATCTATATGTAATATGTGTGCGGTGCCTGTGTGCACAAACAATATTTTCTGGTTGCACATACAATTTTTTATTTGTGCGCACAGACAATATTTACCACAAGGATATTAGTCTAGCAGCTCACAGACAATAGTTGTCTATGTGATCAATTTTAGTTATCGGTGTGATCAATATTAATTGTCTGGGTGAACAAAAAATTTAATTATCTATATACATCCAAATGAATGATGTATGGGTGATCAATTTACATGTAATTTGGGAAAAAATATAAAAATAATAGATGAAATGGCCTCTATATTACTACTAGAGTTTGCATTTCCAAAAACATGACAATTTTTACATTTTTCAGAAATATGACTCATTTTTAAAAGATATGGAGCAGTCTTTTTGTCGTCCCATCTTCCCCCCAGCGAAAGTCATCCCATTCTCGCCCCCGACGAAGAATCATTGAACAAACGGCGAAGCATTCAGCGAACTCGGAACTCCGATCCATAACATCTCCATCGGATGTACCTACAACGCCGCCATCTCCGCTAGAACGGCCAAACATTGGGTCATCGTGACCTCGTTCGTAGCCCTCCCTTCCATTCCAGAAGCTGGAAGAATTAATCTAGTCTGTGTTCCATTTGATTCGTTTTCATTTCCATTCGATTTGTTTCCTCCGCATCTCCCTTCCTCCGCAGCGTGGTCTGCTTCGTGTCGTCGTCGTCGGCAACCTTTCATCTTCTTCTCCCTTCATATGTTCAGATTTCGATCAGGCTTTGGAATGCGGCGATGGCAGGGATGCTCGGATGTCAGAGGCCTTCCCCTCCGTTCAATTTCTGTTCGATTGAATTAAAATTCCAGACACACTCTGAGTCCAGGAAGGACTTAATTTCCCTTTTCGAGGTTTTCTCCTATAGTCTGCCAAACCATAGTAGAAACAATCACTTAAATTGATGCATGGCACTGCCGCTCGATATTTCTTTCCCAACAGCTCGTAATTGGAATGAATTTTGTTTGTGAGAATCTTCTTCCTGGGATTACCTTTGGACATGACTTGAACTTTTATTTAATGAATTATCATCTTCTAGGGTTATATTACTTATACACACACACACATACATACATACATACATACATACATACATACATACATTATACACATACAGACATGTATTTACTAATTTACATGGACAAATATTGTGCTGGGAGACTGGGAGGGGATCTGAGGATAAGAGGGGGCGAATGCTGGGGTTTGGGGATAGGAGACTAGAGGAGGGGGCTGGGACGCTGGGTAGTTGGGGAAGGGACGGACTGTAGTGGTATCCGGTGGTGGCTAGATGTGGTGGTCTTCGACGATGGTCGAAGGGTGCTGGGTGTGGGAGTGTGGCAGGACAAGGGAGGGGATGAGATTGAGGATGGGACATCAATTATGCAGGGTCGGGGCAGCGTGTGGTGGGGTTGGGGCTGGGGTGTGCTGGGCCTAGTATTTGGTGGGGTTGGGGTGCAGTGGCTGGCCCGAGTGTTGGCTAGAGACTGTCAAATGGAGATGCATTAGGGAAGGCGTAGGCATGGGGCGTTCAACGACGTCAAAGGATTTGTAGAGAAGCTAGAAAACTTGAGGGGGTGGTTGGGGCGGGGGTGGTGCAGTGACTGTTGTGTGGGGTGGGGCAGTGACGGTGGTGGGGGGTAACTGTGGATGGAAGGCGGCATGATCGGTTGAGGATGGTGTTCAAGGAGTCACTGTGGTCGGAATCACTTTGGCCGGAGTCATTGTGGCCAAAGTCGTTGTGGCAGCGGAGTCACTGTGGCGATGAAGTCAGTGTGGCAGCGGAGTCGATTTTTTGTCTTTTATCCCCCTTTTTAGTAATATCTAGGCCCAAAGGCCATAATAAAAATAGATGAAATAAGCTGAACAAACTTATCGTGTACAGATAATGGAAAAAATTTGATATAAAATGGTAGAGAAAAAGAGGATGAAGAAGGGAAGAGGACGATGTAGAAGAGAAGATGATTTTTATTTTTGAAAATTTTCGAATGAATTGGCTAAAGGGGAAAGAGAGAAGGGAGAGGGAGGGAAGGGGGATGTAGAGCTTTTTTTTGGGGGGGGGGGGGGGACTTTTATACCATGTACACTTTGTGTACAAGTCATGTACACAAAACAGTTTTCTAGAATTTAATACGAAGTATATTACACCAAATCACCAATATAATTAACCGATCCGAAGTGATATGCAATACTTCTAATAGGAAAACAAAATTTTATTTAGAAATTCAGAATGAGTGTGTTACGCATGTGGCACAGCCGCACAACATTAATTAAGTAAATATGGAACCCGCATGACCAGCTCAACTCGTAAAGGGGTGAGAAAGTTGGAGAATGATCAAGAATCGAAAGTTGGAGAGTGTGTAGATCACAACCCTTATGTTCTGAGTTGAACATCTGGTGCGGACGTGTATATGATCTAACGCCACTAGTACAAAAAGTGTCTATTGTAGCATCCATTTTGTAGCACCATAGATACTGCTACAATATACTTCGTACTACGTAGTATGTATTGTAATATCATTATTAAACCAAATGTTATAATAAAATGATAAATTGCTACAATACATCTATTGTAACACTACCGGATGTTCGGATGCAACATGTTAAAAATGTTGCATTTTATATATTGTAACATTTTTTACACCTATTGCAACATTTTGTAATGCTATAAAAGTTATACTTTGTTGTAGGACACCGTGGGAATTGATTGAAGCACCGTGAATTAATTTTTTTACATGCTCTTTATGAGGGTTCAATCTTTTTTGGAGAATTAACTAAATACGAAGTACTCTCTCCGTCCCTAAAAGAACTTCCAACTTTCCCTTTTCGTCTGTCCCAAAAAGAGTTTCACTTTCCTCTTTTGACAAAGAATTTGAGGTTCACAACATTTCTCTCTCCCCTGCATAACTCTCCACCACACAATTCCCAGTTTTTTAATCAGCGTGTCACTTTATTTGGGAAGAAAATGAACATTATTATATAGAAATACAGTAAACTCACGCTAAAGGTAACAAGAATACAGGAATCATTATACGGAGTACTATACTACAAAAAGTTAAATGTACGGCAACGTGACGACAAAAATACAACATTGCATAGAATTTAAACTTCTCACGTTAAACCTATTTAAAAACAAAAATGATGTTTGCATACACTCTTATACACACTTTTGTACACACTTATGTTTGTGAAAGTTTTTTTTTTGTCTGTGAATATCGATTCACAGACAATGTTTTGCACAAACAAAATATTGTCTATGAATCGGATTCACAGACAAGAAAAAACTTCACAAACATGATGTGTATAAGGTGTGTACAAGTATGAGTACATCAAGCATACTTGAAAAACAAAAATGTGTACAAAGTTTCTGTGTGAACGTTAAATATAGAAATGTCACTTTCCACCAATTCATAAAGATACAGTAAAACGGGTAAACAAGGCTAATAAATAATTTTTTTTATTAAAAAGCTAATAAAACAATAAATAAATAAATTAATAAATAAATAAATAAATAAATAAATAAATAAACTCCGACCCCGGCCCGCCTATATAAACCCCCCAAACGGACCAAACCTCAGCAACTCATCACTTCATAATATACTCTCTATCAATATAATATTCTCATCTTAATTTGCAAAAAATGGGAATTTGCGCTTCTTCACACATCTTGGGGTGGCAAAGTGGAAGGTTTCTGCTAAAGAACACTCCGGCGGCGGCGGCGGCCATGGTGGTCCACGAGAACGGGGAGCTGCTGGAGTGTCGCCGTCCGGTAAAGGCCGCCGACGTTTTGTCGGAGAACCCGAATTACTTCCTCTCAAACTCGGAGTCCATGAGCGTTGACTCAGAAATACCTCAACTTTCGAAAGACGAAGACCTGCAGATCGGTCAACTCTACTTTCTCCTCCCCATTTCTAAGTCGCATTCTCCTCTGAATCTTCAAGATATGTGTAGGCTCGCCGTCAAAGCTAGCACTGCTCTCAATGGGTATTTTACTCCGGTTGCCGGAGCTGTTGCCAGCCGCCGCCGCCACCGCGGTTCTTGCAATGACAGAGTTTCTAGGCGGCGGCATATGGTCACCTTAATTAACTGACTGGATGGCTGGATCCACTCTGTTGTAACAAAATTTTAATGTTCCGAAGTTCCGATCAACCAAATATTTGTAATTTTTCTAATTTGTTATAATGTTTTTTCTTCTTTTTGGGAAGTTTTTCTATTTATAACAAATGAGTTGTTTTACCAAAAGTGTACAATATGTATATAGCTGAGTACACTGAAGTTTCCTATGAGTTATGTTCGTGGTCACATGACCCACATCTTGTTTTTCTGAGTTTTAATTCCTCTTGGGTCTTTTTCGTTTACAAATTTTAAGCAAACAATTGTACGGAGGATGAATTATACGGTAAGATCAAGGATGTGGTTGTATTTTTAATTAGATCGATTTTTTTTTAATTTGATTTATTTATTTTGAATAAATAAGTAGTATAATCCAATTTGAAAAAACATATACGGAGTATGGGTGAAATCATTTCAATTAGAAATATTCTACTTATAAGTTGTACGTACCTTGGTTAACCAGGAATCAGTTAATCGAGATTTCAGTTATTATATTTTGTTTAAAGTTGTACGTACCATGACATCAATTAACCGGACATCCGTTAACCAAAATTCTGGTTAACCACTAATCGGTTAACAAAAAACCACAATAAACTCATTCAAGTTAAACTATTAGACATTTAATTTAAAATAAAAAAGAGTTAAAGAGATTGGATGACAATTAAAATAGATGTAGCGGCTAGACTCGAGTTCATCGAGAAGGGATGATCTCCCGAAAGACTGAGACCTGAGCGTTACGAAGAGGCAATCACACTACATCACCGACAAAGTCAGGTGCATTTAACCACCTCAAGCCAGAAGTTAATAGTCCATCCTCTCCGAATCACGTTCCTAAGGGTCACTTGTAAAAAACAACCTTACAGTTACCCTTTTGTAGTCACACTTTTCTGATAGAATACTACTAATGACATAGAACTGTCACTAATTTCTAACAAAAAACATCACTATCTCATAGTGACACTTAATGGGCCGGGTATGCTTTAACATTTTTTAACTTAGCTAACACTTGTTTTTTTCATTACACTTAAATTTTTTCATATACCACTAAAATATTTTTTTATCGATGTATTCATTCTTCTAGAGCTAGAGCCGCACAAACGTAACCCTACCTTCAACACAGATCTATTTCCGACTTTAGCTTACTCCACTGCTGTACTCTTCGCTAATATCCTTCTCAACCTGCCGATTCTTCGTCCAGAGCTAGAGCACACTGCGTTGCCGAGTTCGATCGATTGTTAAGACTCAGGGTTCCATCCTAAAAGGTCAACCTTATAGGAGGAGTAACTCATGTCTTAATATAAGACTTCGTTGACTCAAACATTTCCGGTGTGGGATTTAACACCCCTCCTCACGACCAGACTCTTTGTCTCGATCGTGTCGTCATTCATTTTTTTCGCCAATTCATCATTGTCATTTTTTATAATCGTGTCAATCATTTTTCATAAGGGGGCCCACACCATTGATCGTTTTTGCTCTGATACCATGTTAAGACTCGGGGTACCATCCTAAAAGGTTAACCGTATAGGAGAAGTGGCCCATGTCTTAATATAGCACTTCGTTGACTTAAAAATTTCCGGTGTGGGATTTAACAATTTAGTCCAGAGCACCCTTCAATAGTTCGATCAATTTAGTCTGTCGCAGTACTCCGTCGCAATACTCCGTCCCCGTACTACGCCCAACCGCCTTATTGCGCCTTACTGCGTCTTCTCTCTAAGGTTCGTATATACTGATTTTATATTACAAATAGGTAATGGATGTTGTGATTTCAGTATGTTAACTAGCACTTTGGCTTTCCTTTGCTGGTTGATTTATGCCAGTTGTGTGTTTCATTATGTGTGATTAAGTGCTTCTTTCTTCCTGTTGTGTGTTTCATTCATTATGTGCAATTTCAGTATTTATACATGTTTTTTTATTTTTGAAGCTAAAATCTTTAATGAAGAGTTAAAATCTAAAAGACTTCGTAAAAACTTCAACAAAGCATACTCTAAAAGTGTCAAAAGAAATATGTTATAATGGAAAAGGGAAGAATTCTAAGAGGGGCCAACATCTCATATCGTGTGGGAAAGCTGCTTTTGTTTTATATGGTACTCAAATGAACTTGGAGAACACTATGGAAGAAACATATCAGCATCTAAAAAAGCATTGATGCATGATGATGTAAGAATGGTTGGGGCAGATAATATCTATGGCATATATCTTGTGGCTTATTTCAGCATCTAAATAAGGAAAATTAACTTCATTACCATAAGGTTGCTTAAATACGTATCTGATCAATTTATATTCCTGTTCAATGTAGGCAGTTGACCGTTCATCTGTGCCATTGATATTGATATGTCCTACTCATTCTCTTGATTCTCTGAAAGAAATATCATTGTATATTGAAGTATTAATATATTTTTCTTGAAAAAAATATCATTAAATATGTCTCATTGTAAATTTTCAAAATATGATTTTTTTTAATTTTTTTACTAATAGGAAATAATGTATATTAATGGTCAAAGTTGTACCTCGAGAAATGTGAAATGTTGACTGTTTCATTTATTTAAGAACTAAGGAACTAAATAGCAATGTACGTAAGGGGGTTCAATGGATGGACTTTGCTAATTGCTAGTGATTGAGATAGGTTTTGTAAAAATGGATGCACCCATTTTTTAGTGTTCTAAACTTGGTGAGTTGAAATAGATAGAGTCCATTTGGTAATACTAAAATCCATTGAATAAGCTGATTCTTCTGAAATTTATGAAGTTCTGGTTGAATTGAATGTATTGACTGATTCTACTGATTTGTGAAAAAATTTGTTTAAAATATATTTTATTAAAAAAAAATATATGAAAAATATCTAAAATAGTCATTTACAGTAATTTTAGTCAATATAGTCATAAAGTAACTCCAACCATACTTTTTCTTATTTTTACATAATTCAACGCGCGAAATCAAAAATTACGTGTTTGATTGAAAAGTTGATTGATAAATTTATAACTTAACTTGAATTGTTAAGTTAAAAAACAAAGTCGCAAAACGGACTCTAAAACTAATGATTTCACTGATATCATAAGTTTATACTCCGTATATTACTACCTCCGTTCCCATTTTAACTTCCAAATGGGTTTGGCACAAAGTTTAAGATAGTGGATATTGTCTTGTGGAGAGTTGTGCAGAGGAGAGAGAAATGTGTAAGAAATGTTGTGAACCACAAATTCTTTACTAAAAAAGGAAAGTGGAAATTTTAATTGAAACGAACGAAAAAGAAAAGTCGAAAGTTTATTTAGAAACGGAGTACTATTTTTATCTTCATTTAATAAGGGACAGTTGTGTTTTCATCGTCTAGCTTCTCTATCTCTATAATTTGCCATCACTTCCACTTCAATCACAATTTAACAAAAAGCAGTCACTAGCCTTCACCCACTTCAATAATACGTAGTACTCCGTAAGATTTATCCCCGGCCCGCGTAACGGCGGATGGAACTGTCTGGATTATCATTCTCCAGCCGTACTAAATATGGATGGGATTGAAGTACATACCATAGTGACATTTTCCAATTACTCCATCGGCCCCCTATAATTATCCTAGTTTCCCATTTTTAGATGTTTCTTTATTATGGTTACATGCTATATTTGATAACATTTGTGTGACTCTAATTCATTTTTACTTTATTTTTACTTTATCAACTCATTACCAACCACATAATTCTACCTTTCTTAAAAATCACACCACCCTTCCGTACCAATATTAGGGGGACGAAGGGAGTATATTGCATTTTGAATTTCATTTGACAATGTAATTATAAATTACTAATCAGATTTATTTGATGCGATCTGGCCGCAACCAGGGGTATATTAATATTACCTGTCCCAATGGACTTTGCACTACTTAAGTTTGGTGAGAAATAAGAATAGTAAAAATTGTGTGGTTGAAGTTTGTGCAGAGGAGAGAGAAATGAGTAGAATCACAAAATAGTTACTTTAATTGAAAAGTGGCAAAGTTTTTTTGGACAACCAAAAAAGAAAAGATGACAAAGTCCAATGGGACGGAGGAAGTATTAATAAGATTTTTTCGATACTATTTTACTACCTTCGTCTCAATTTGATTTGTAAATTTGACTTCAGTTGGTCATGCAGTTTCCCTTTATTCGTTTAATTAGGATATCAATTTTTAATTATATTTTCTAATTTGGAGTTTTCAACTTTGAAAATATTTTAATGTAATTTCTGAATATGTAAATTTTAATTATTAAAAATTTAATTAATTATACATATAAAAGATTTAACTTTAACTTTGTTTGATCAAACAATGTGAACTTTGCAAATCAAAATTTAATAATTTAAACAGAATTAAAATTTGGGTGTGTTAGGCCTAGGTTGGTCCCCATGCTTTGCCCAACAAAAATAATACATAGTACGGAGTATATGAATTGAATAAGTAAAAACCAATACTTGCTCCATTTGGTTTTAGTTGTATGTAACATTTTCAATTTTCATAGTTGTCTGTGTACAATTTTAATCATCGATACATTTCGTTCATTTTAAAAATTAAAATCTAACAATATTCTGAATTTGAAAATTTAAAATTAGAGAAATTGAACAACTTTGTTGCATAAATTTCAATTTTCATAGTTGTCTGTGTACAATTTTAATCATCGGATGCAGCATGCTAAAATGTTGCATTTTATGTATTGTATAACATATTTTACATCTATTGCAACATTTTACATATGTTACAAAAGATATACTTTGTTGTAATACACTATGATGATTGATAGGGTCAGTGTAAATTAAATCTTTCTATATGCTCTGTCGTATTGGGGGTGGAGGACTCTTGAGGACCTCGGATATGAGGATTCATTTTTTTTTTGGAGAATTAACTAAATACTGCCTACGTCTCTTAAAACTTTGCCAAAGTTGATCGGCACGGAGAGTAATAAAGTAAAAACTGTGTGGTTGGGTTTTGTGCTGAGGAGAGAGAAATAACAGAAACCACAAAATAATTGATTAAAAAGGAAAGTGACAAAGTTTTGATGATAATGTTTTAAGGGATGGAGGGAGTACGAAGTAAAACATAGGCCACATTGCCAAGGCAATAATGGAAATACACTAAACTCATCCAACTATAGTACCGCAATTTATACTCTGCAACGGGCGCACCATGAGGATGGTGCGCCCGATTGCAAAACGACGCAGCTTCAGGTTGATTTCATTATTTTTTATTTCTTTTATTTTTAAAAATTGTAATAACTTTTTTATTTGATATCCGATTTTTATAAATTTTATATCAATTTTTTTTATTTTTCATGATCTAT